GCGCATGCGCCAAGCGTGCCCTGTGGCTCCTGGTGCTGGGGTTGCCCCGGGAGACGCAGAGCCCGCCCCCTACGTGCAGCGTGGGCCTGGCATGTGCTTCAGTTAATTTCATTTAAGCGCTTGTTGGGTCACAGTCAAAAAATTAAAAATAAAAAATAAAAGAATATATGGGAGGTAGCATCTTGCCCCATAGATGAGCAGCCTACAGTGGCAAGAAAACATGTTAGAAACTATTTAGAGAAGCCGGGTGTGTACAAGTCCAGGATGCATCATGGGAGGGACTAGAAGGGGTGGACTCCCTAGGTCCCTGGCGCCCCGTCTGGGAAGACCAAAATGCCTGGGCAGTGAGCGTCTTTGCAGTCTCCTTGTTACGAGCTTGTGACCTTGCTCCCTTCCTTTATTTTCTTAGGATTTGTCCCAAGAAACTAGTTGCTGCGTCTTTAGGGGCCCCCACACTTCCTCAGTGGGTCTTCACTCTTGGCGCAGCTAAAAGCTCCCCACTACCCTTCTCCAGTCCTTTGCTTGAGCTCTTTGTATAATAATAAAAGAGAAAGGACACAATCATTACCTGGGGCAGCGGTCACTTGGGAGCTAAAATGAGCCACGATCGTTGTACCAAGGGGTGTTTCTGAGTGACAGGCAACACCGGCTGCCTGTTCCTGGAAGACACGTCAAGGTGACTGGCACCATCAGAGCTTTGTTTAGCCAAGATTTATCTGAACATTCAAAGGGCATGTTGGCCTCTGACTATCAGAGATCAAAGTGCCATCTTTTATGGCCCCGATTGACCCATCTTGTTTGAAAGTTTCATTGTTATGTATTGAAATGATGAGCACAAATATTACTGCTTTACTCACCCACCACACTTTTTCCCCGCTCCCCACGACCTCCAGCCCATCCAAAACTGGGTTGCATGTCTTAAGTGGGGAAGCTGATTTTCTGCCTAGAATAGAAGCACCCTGCTTTAATTTCTGCTCCACCAGGCAGCACCAGCGGGACTTCTGTTCAGGCAGGTGAATCAGTTGACATAATTGCCTTTTTGACTGTTGCTATATGCGTATGTTGTACATATTGTTATTATTGTATTGTACTATACATAGCTATAGTCATACTTTCACAGTATAAGTAATTACTATATTTCCTTGTAAAACACCAAATAAGACCTGCACCTTGCTTTTGGAAAGGCAGAATGAAGAAAAAAAGATCTTTCCAGAGTTATGGCTGCGTACAGTACGGACGCAGCCTAATCTTCAGCTCACTCACCCTTCCTTTCCTGTTTAGGAAAAAGCTACAATTTTAACCCTTTTCAGAATTGAGCTGTCAGCAGCTCTTAGCTGCTCAGCCAGAAGCTGAAACTCTAGATACTGCTGAGAACTGGGTGCCATGAGCAAATTTAGGATTTTGAAAAGAGCAAAAAACAGGCTGCAAGCTATAAAATAGGAGAAGAGAGACTAGCAATAGATAAATGGCAAACTCTTGAACAGAATCCTGAAGAAAGGACAGTTTGATTAGTGGAACATGAAGCCCATTAAGAAGGTCATTAACATCTGCCTAGTGAAGAACAGTTAACAGAAACCAGGTAGATTATAATGAGCAATGAAGTCAGTTGATTCCCTCAGTGCTGTCTGCATGGACATGCCACTGCTACTATTTGGGGCAGAAAATCAGTTTTCCTGATTAAGACATGCACTTAATCTATACTATAAGGAGAGTAGCACCTACTGATCTTAAAAACTTGCTGGATCTGTCATACAGAAAGTTGTAAACAAATGTAAAACAATCAAATAACTAAAAGAAACACCCACTCCAGAGTTCACAATCTAATGGCAGGAGGTAACAGATGAATGGAGCAGACATATAGGGAGGAATGGGAAAATGACATACTTACATATTAGGCCTTGCTCTCCGCTTACCACCTGCCTTGTCATTGAGTAACATCTTGTAGTTTTCTAGAGGGCAGAAAGAGTCCTATAATTGTTTCTCAAGACTGACTTACTAATTTCCTTCAGAAAGGTAAAAATCCTTTTTCACCATAGATACATCTATTTTATTGTTTATTGTTTATTGACTAAACCCAAGTCAACCCATGCTGTCAGATGCATACACCTAGATGGGAGTTGCTTATACATCTACAAGGCCTGAATTCTGCCCTTGGACTGTTTATTATTTATAAACATTACAAATAGTACACTATTTAAAATTTATGCTTATTTTGCTTATATATAATGCTTATTTATAATCTTTGCAGTTTCTCAAATGTTATGGGGAAAACAGACAAATTAGGTAAATAAATAAATAATTTCCCCCCTCCCCATCCATTTCCTTTTATAAAATCTATACATTTATTAAGAGAGTGCCATCATACATTTGAATAAGCATAGCATGACAATAAGACTCCAAAAAGTATTTTTCAGTGTATACAGATTACCTGTAAACAAAAAGAAGTTTGTATGCTTTAACATTTGGTAAGAAACTTATGCACAATTCATCTACAATATTAAACTTTCTTCCTTCCTTGATGCTTTCAGTACAATGAAACACATTTTTCCAGTCTCTCTCATGTAAATAAATATATTATGTGAACAGGGACAGAGAGAAGGTTGATATAAAAAAAGTAACTCAGGCATAAGATACAAGAATTCTCTGATTCTTGCGCAATTTAAATATTAGCCTTAATGATACTTTAAGATCGGTTTTGTCCCCCTCTCTTTTGGATACAGTTTACATGCAAAACTGTATTAGTGCAGGTTTTAGTTGTGCTATTAATGCTAGTTTTACAATGATGATAAATAACACCTGTTAGAAAACATTTATAAAATCTATTTGGAATTGTTCATCTGCCCATATGGTTGTTAACAATTAAACACTATCAGCTTAATCAATTAAAAATATTAAAAGTAGCATTATTTCCCCTGAGTCCTCTTGCCAGTTTTTATGTGTTTACAGTCACATTTTCCCATTAAAAATATATCAAGATTGTCCTATGAAAAACCCACATATGGTGGGTTTGGCTGCATGGAAAAGGATGAAGCTGAGTAAAAGGTCTAGTTCCAGCATAGACTTTCAAGCGAATTAGCCATGTACCTAGGAGTAAGAAAATAGGTTATATCTTTGCATAATTAGGATCCTAATTTTATAGTTGTTTATAAATATTTATAACTAATGTAAGCATTCGTGTACTACACAAGCTTTGTTCTGGCAAGCTGAACAGTATTTTCACACCATATGGCTGAGTTTTTGTGTTTAATGGGGAATCAGAATGCATTTATAAAAGTCACTAGGAATTGTAGAAACCCTTTAAGAATACAGCATTAATCAAACATTTCTTTCAAAACAGATGGAAATATCTAAAATGGGGAATTATGAATTAGAATATTGTCTCAAAAGTTATTGGAAAAATTAAAAAATGTGTTGCCTCATAATTTCCAGAGCAATAATTCTGATGTTCCCAGTGGTAAAATACACAGGGATTTCATAGGACTAATATTCTTCCCAAAACTAAACTGGTTTTTCAGAAATCTTAAGAAGAAAAGAAAACATTAAGTGGGAAAGACCTATTATTCCACAGTGTTGTGAAAACTGGATTTGACACAGTGGTGATTCCTTTTCCCTGCACAGTAGCAGTCAATGAAGACACTTCAGTATATTTTTAAATGAGTGAGTTTTTGTCATACAAGTGACAGCAATGATATGTTAGTATGTTTTGCTATGGTTTCATGAAGTTAAAAAGTTAATAACAGGGATTTTAAAATGAAAGGTAATTGAGTTAGTACTTGGACATAATATCACTTTCAGTGGCTTGTTATTTTCAAATATTTAAGGCCACAATCCAACAACCACATTAAAGACCTGCATAACTTTAAGCAAATGAGTAGTCCCATTGAAATCAATGGCCCTGATTCTGCAAACACATGCATGCTTAAATTCTTTCTGAGAATGGGCTGACTAAAATAAATGGGACTACTTGTGCTTAAGTTATGTCCACATTTAAGTGCTTGTTGGGTCACAGTCAAAAATTTCTTCCCTTTTATTCCACACTGGTGAGGCCACAACTGGAGTACTGTGTCCAGTTTTGGGTTCCTCACTACAGAAAGGATGCAGACAAATTGGACACAGTCCAGTGGAGGGCAAAAAGTGGTTAGGGGGATAGGGTACATGATGTCTGAGGAGAGACTGGGGGAACTGGGCTTATTTAGTTTGGAGAAGATTTAATAGCAGCCTTCAACTCCCTGCAGGGGGGTTCCAAAGCAGATGGAGCTGGACGGTTCTCAGTGGTGGCAGATGACAGAACAAGGAGCAATGGTCTCAAGTTGCAGCAGGGAAAATTTAGGTTTGATGTTAGGAAGAATTTTATCACTAGGAGAGTAGTAAACCACTGGAACAGGTTACCCAGAGAGGTTGTAGAATCTCCATCCCTGGAGGTTTTTAAGACCCAGCTAGACAAAGCTTTGGCTGGGATGATCTCATTGGAGATGGTCCTGCTTTGAGCAGGGGGTTGGACTAGATGACCTCCTGAGGTCTCTTCCAACCCTAAGTTTCTATGAT